CTTTATCTGAGTTTGACAAACATAAAGCTAATGAAAATTGTAAAACCGAGCCTATTGTTGAAAAGAGCGTAATAAAAGCTATCGATTAAAAAAAAATTTAACGTAAAAAAACAATATTCTTCGCTCAAAAAGTGTACCTTTAGTAGTTGTTTTTAAAAAATCTACAGTACGTATAAAGAAAACAATCTGTATAGTTAATTTTCAGAAATTTCCGAAATTATTAAAATAACCGATAAAAAATCCTCAATAAATAATACATATAAGCCTACTTAAAGTTTGATTTACCGATTTGATGAACACCCCAACGAACACTGTATCGTCTGAAGGAGGAGTTTCTCCTTTGAAAAAAAAACGGTACACAACGGCAAGAGATAGAAGGGAGCACCTTAGCAGAACTTTTAAATATAGAAAAGGTAATCGCGGCGAAGACAGGAGCTCATATAGAAGTAACGAAGAAAATAATGGCAAAACCAGTGGCGATGTTACTGGTAATATATCCATAGAGAAAGAACCAAGAAAACCAAAGAGAAAAGTAGCTGTATTGGTTGGTTTTTGTGGAACTGGTTATCAAGGAATGCAAATGTATGTAGAAGACGTTCCAACAATTCATTCTATCATTTACTTTATCTAAATGATGAAATCAATGCAGCAATCGTAATGCAAAAACTATCGAAGAAGATCTCTTTAAAGCTTTTGTAGCTGCTGGTGCGATATCCAAAGATAATTCTGATGATCCAAAGAAGGTACGTGGCTTCTAAATAATTAATTAAATGGTTTTTTTCGTTAATAGAATATCTATCATCGTTAAACTTTAAACTACGAATGACAGGTAAGCTTGATGCGTGCTGCGAGAACTGACAAGGGAGTACACGCGGCTGGAAATTTGATATCGTTAAAGATATGAAAATTTTTTCAATTATAATAGTTTGGCTTATTTTACATGTCCTTAGAACTTATCCCAGTATTTTGTTTCTTTACATGATTATAGATATTCCTAATTTAGTCGAAAAGATTAATGAAAACCTTACTGATCAAATTAGAGTATGGGGTAATAATTTATATGTAACTTATTATTATTATTATTATTATTATTATTGTACATTACTTTGATATGAAAATTTTTCGTTTGATAGGATTTGTTAAGACCATTCGTTCTTTTCATGCAAAGACATTGTGCGATTCTCGCATTTATGAATATCTCCTCCCAACCTATGTTTTCATTCCTCGAGAGAGAGATCAAATAGTAAGTTCAATCGGACAATTATCAACTGATCAAAATGATCAGACACAATTCGTCGAAGCACCTCTTGCCACGGCCGAAGAAATGATTGAAAAACGGAAGTATCGTATTCCTTCTAAAACGCTAGATTTGGTGAGGCAAGGATTTAAAGCGTATGAGGGTACGCATAATTATCATAATTTCACGTTGGGTCGCAGCCCAATGGAAAAAAGCTGTAATCGATTTATCATGAGCTTCGAAGTGCGTAACTTTAAATTATGTATCACTTTTTCAACATTCATTAGAGTTAAAAACATTTGTTTTTAGGTTAGCGACCCTAAAATAGCACATGTTCGTGACTCCAAAACTGGTTATCAAAATGTGACTAAAGACAGTGAGTGGCTGAGCCTTAAAGTTCATGGACAGTCCTTTATGCTACATCAAATTCGCAAAATGGTTGGTAGGTATTATTAAATAGTGTATTATTAAAGATTATTCATTTAATATTTGAATTATTTTATTAGCCTTAATAGTCATGATGATAAGAACAAAAACACCACTTTCGCTTATCCATAAAACTTTTGGGAATACTAAGATCAATATTCCCATAGCTCCAGCTCTAGGGTTATTACTAGATCAGGTAACACTAATTTTTCAGAGTTGTCTAAACGCGATCACCGATATAATCCTTATTGATATTTGATTTCTAAAATTTAGCCTGTATTCAGATCGTACAATAAGAAAGCCGTCGATAATGGCAAAGAGTTGATTGAATTTGATATTTACAAGGTACAAAATAATGTTGATATAGCTAATAGCTGCTTATAAACGACTGTGCTCAATCTGATTAATGTTTGTCTTTTCGAACAGGATAAAATCGATGCATTCAAGGAAAAATTTATTTATTCCAAAATTTACGACGAGGAATTTTC